GCTATTAGTATATAATTATTTTTACTAAAATAAAAAGATAATGTAAAATAAGATGCACAATTAAGTTGAATTAGGACAAATATAGTAAAATATTTTATAAATCTCCGTATGATTTTTTTTCGATTTTTTTTTTTCTAAGAGCATCTTTTAGAAATTGGGAAAAGTGATGGTTGATGGCATTATATGGGTGTGTTTATTTTATATTTTTGAATAAATATATTTTATACAGTGAGTATGAAAATTATGTTGATAATATAAAAAATACTATTTTCGTACCTTAAATAAATGTCCGTATAATATTGATATGTATTACAAATTAAGAGAAAACGAACTAAAATAACTGTATTAATATTGTATGATATAAATATAATAATATTTGTATAATATATTGTAAGTACGTTGTAAAGATATTTATAGTGTTGATAGATAATACATTTACTAAAAAAAAATTGAATTTAATAATTTGTTATGAGACTAATCAAAATAAATAAATAAAAATAGATAGTTTATTAGGAGACAGAGATAGTAATGTTTTATATTGAAATTAATAAAATTTTGTAAATTGATTAAATGTATATTGTATTAATATATTTGTACTTTTTATAATATTTATAGAAAATTATGTTAAAAACACACACACACACACACAAAAAACAAACAAATTATTTGTGTAGGGTTTTTATTTGATTTTTACAATTTATATAAAAAAAATCTTCCAAAAGATATTAAAACAAATGTTTATTTTTTAATTGTACTAAGATATTATTTTATATAAAAAAAGAATAATGTTAATAGTTATTTATATACATTAAACAATTATACAAATTCAAATTCTCATTATTAAAAATCAAATTAAAAAACATAATTATAAGTTAAAAGTTGTAGCAAAAAGTTGTTTCACTATTATATATTGATATATATATTGATGATGTAGAAATCTACGGCTATTGATGTCTTCGGATGTTTGGACATAAATTTTAATAAAAATTAATAATAATTGCTTTTTTTTTTTTAATCTTTTATAGTAAAAAATATAAAAAATTTGATATAATTTGTTAAAAAATAAATAAAATATTTTTTTATGATAACACAAAGAAACTAAACATCGAATTGGATAACAGAGAGAGTTATATATATTTGATTAAAAATACTTTCTCCGTCCCCGATGAAAGTACTCATTCGGGAATTTGCCGTAGATTAAGAAATAATAATATTTTATTAGTTAGTGAAAACGTATAAGAGATTTTTGATATTTTTGTCATTTGACTTTATATATAAAGTAATTATATGTATAATGATATGTTTGTAGTTTAAACAAAAATTAATTGTATTTTAATATTAATCTATAATTATTTTTACTAAGGTATGTAAAAAAAATACTTTTGAGTGAGACAAACGAAAATAATAAAAATGATATCACAATTAGATGTATATAGATATATGTACTAATTTTTTCATATGAAATATTATACTAAATAATTATTCCATTTAAAAGGATACCAAAAAAGTGTATTGTGAATTGAAGTTTATGTTTGTTTGTGTCTTTTTTTGTCTAGGAAACCACGATGACTGTTTTGGTAGGTAATAATTATACTCAATCCGTCTCAGAACTATAGTTTGGGTTGTGTTTGACACGTGATTTAAAAAATATTGATATTATATTGGTAGTAGGTAAAAAGTAAGAATAAAATATTTTTTTGCTCTTGTGAGTGTATTAGTGTAAAAAGTAGTGGAAATTGTGTAATAATAATGAAAAAATAAGAGTAATTTTATAATTATATGATTATTTATGAAAATGAGACTATTATTTTGGGACGGACAAAAATGATAAACATGAATATTGTATTGGGACGGAGGAAGTATTAGAAAGGTAAAATACGAATATGAGAGTTTAGTAGAAGATTATACAGTATATATGTCGTCCGATTCATACACTCCCAAATCAGAATTTTTTATTTTTTTTGGCAAAAATTTTTTAACATGTTTTTTGAATAATATTATATAAAAAAAAAATATATAATATGTACATATATTCATACAAAATATAATACTAATTTTCTTATGTTAACCGGTGAATGACGGGTCAAACTCAAGGTATGAGTGTAATGGAAAAAATTTTGAATTGAGATGAATGCGAATATATGAATCGAGTTGAAATGGAGAAATTTTTGTAACAAAGAATTTGAATGCGAGGTAACTAAGAAAACAAATGATGTACTGCGAAGCTAACTTATACTAGTTGATTCTTGACATGGAAAAGGGGAGGAAGTGCCCGCGAGGTAAGTGAGGGTTAATGCGCTATATTTATATACTTTCTACGCTAGAATGTTGCGTGGAGGTGATCACAAGAGATATCTGCTTGTTAGTGATTTCCGAAACTATTTGATCTATACATACTCTGGAGAGCTAAACTAATAATTGATTATCGAGCTGATGATCTATTTCTAAATTCATACTTCACTGTCCTTTGAGTCGTTTCTATCGATACTCACAATTGGTGAATCAATTAATTAGATTGCTACCTACTTTTTTATTATATTTTCTAAGTCAAATTACTCGTGACGATATGCTTTTGTGAGCATTTTGGGTCTATTTAGCAACATGATTTTATTTTTTTTTCGGATTCATCTAACTAGATTTAGTTAACTACTTATATGCGTTATAAGTCTCACTATCTTAAAGTACTTTGCAAACTTATTTCTCAAGGATGAGAATGCGATTGAGAAATATGATATTTCATTACTTAGGAATTGAATGAATTGGATATTGCGATTAAACTAGGAATGACGCATTGCAAGTTAAATATACTCCCTCTGGATACTGTGTCTGCTACACTGTAGACACGGTATTTTAGGAGAGGTATAATTAGTAGATAATTAAGAACGTATTAGTGAAAATAATTATCCTATAATATAAATAAGTATAAATTAAGATTAAGATAACTAATTAGTTTAATTAAAATTTTAAAAAAAATAAAATTAAAAAATTTGAAATAAGATTAAAGTGTGTAATCATTTTCCAAAAAAAAAAAAAAAAGGAAAGTGACATGGTACGTGTGACGGACAGAAACGGCAACATGGACATAATAATCTGCGAGGGAGGGAGTATATTTTCCATAACTTGTAAAATTATCTAAGAATTGCCGCAAACAAATATATTATCGACGAATAAGGCTTACTGGAGTATACGATATTGTCACATGATTGAATTATTTAATAACAATATTTAATCAGTTATGGTATGATTTTTCTTCATTTTCAATTAGTTATATATTTTAAAAAATTATCAAATCAATATTTACATTTAATTTTAAATAATATATTATTTAACTATCATAAAATATATATTTTTTAAAACATCATATCAATATTTCATTGTATTCTTTTAAAATTATTTATTTCAGCATATTTATTACACAATTTAAACTCTTAAACAAATACAACATAAAAATTTTTATTTCAAAATTCTTAAAAATCGAAATCCAAAATTCAAAACTTCCAAACAAACACAACATATGTTTTTTTGAAATCAAGATTTAAATTAAAAATTTGATTGAACAAAGCCTATTCTTAGTAATTCTAATATAATTGAAATGTACCGTCAATTTTGGTTCAAATATACAAAATTCATAGGGTATATTCTTTTGAAAAATTTTATCTAATATTTTACTATATACCAAAATTCTCCCCACAAACATCCAACTAAATACCTATTTTTATTTTCTATATTACAGTATTAAAATTTATATCATCATATAATTATTTCAATTCATTTTTTGTTTTTTATAATTCAAATTCCAAACTATCAAACAAACAAACAAATCAATTTTAATCCTATGATAAATAATTTCAATTAATTTTCGTAATACCATTGTTGATATTTTTGGCTCAATCCAATACCAAGTCCAACCTGCAACCCAAAACCCTTTGATCCGACCCGGTTCTAAGGACCCGACATGACCCGCACCTTATAACTTTCCCTTCACTCCTCACTCGGCAGTGCGTGGATCGCGATTGATTTTTGGTATTTTCTTTGGTCCATCTTCTTCGCCGTTCTTCTCGGTAAGTTTGGAGGTTTCATTCTTCGCCGAAATTGCAATCGTTCTAGTTTGATTCCTTCGGTAAGTTATTCATTTGGGTGTTCTTAGTGAAGTTCTTGGAGAAATCGGTCTATTAGAGTTAAGGTTCTAAAATCGAGTCCGTAGGTTTGGAGTTTTGTTTGGAGGCGGTTGGGTTAATCCCTAAATGAGTCTTTAGGTTGTAGACTGAGCCGTAAAAAATAGTTTCCCCTATCGTTTTTCGAGTCGCTTGAAAATCGCCTGAGGAGGAAGTCGCCGGAGCTGTTGTCTTGTCGCTGCGCGTCGCCTGAGTTTGTCCGCCGGAGTTTACCATTGCCGCTGCCCGTCCGTCATTTGAAACCATCCGAACAAATTGTTGGTTGCTGGCCTGTGTTATCGTCGGTATCCAATTGATTGTAGCGCAAATCTATTTTGGCATTCGAACACGGAAATGTTCAATTCTTAATTCCAATTTAATTAATCTTGTTTGTTTGGTTTTTCAGAAAGATATAGTTTCAATGTTGTTTGGACACATTAAAAAACACAACAACCATTAAAAAACTAAATGAAATTCTTGACATAGCCGATTAACACACAAGACAGTCGAATTGAACATCTAACATTTGGTATAATTTAAATTTTGACTATATTTAACTATTCTAAATTCAATATATATATTTTTTTAAAAAAATAAAATAAAAATTTAGATCAAAAGATAATGATACACAATCCTATGACAACGTAGTAGACTTGTATAATTGTTTTTTTCTAAGTTACCAGTCACGGCAATAAAAATCAAATCTTTTGATGTGCAATTTTAGTTAGTTTTTAAATTGTAAAATTAAAATTAATTATAATTATTTATAATCAAATTAAAATTGATAAAATAATTATATTAAGAACCAATATATTTTAAGAATATTGAAACAACTATTATCATTTTTTTATTTTAAACAAAACTAAAAATCTTAACCCTATCGATTCCAAATCCATCGATCGTCGCCAGCCACGCTCCCCCCACCTATATCTCGCAAATCGCCGCCGGCCGCCCTCCCCCACCTGCATCTCGACCTCCGCAGATGGACAAGACGGACATTCTGATGCTGGAGGCGCCGCCGCAGATGGCTGCTGCGCCGTCGGCCGAAATAATTGATGCGCTGCCATACATTGACGACGACTATGGAGACCCAAAAGTTAAAGCGGAGGTGGATCGTTTGGTGGAAGAGGAAATGCGCCGTAGTTCCAAGAAACCCTCCGACTTCCTCAAAGACCTTAATCCTCCGCCGAAAAACGATTTTCAGGTTCGTCAGTCTCGCTCTTCGAGTTCTATGGATATTTTGCTGGAATTTAAATAGATTGATTAGTAACATTTAGCTTTCGAGAGGTTTTGAGTTCTTTGTTAGCTAGGTTATTTGTGAAGTTAATTTTGATTTGTTTGATTGATTAGTAGATATAGTTACGTTGCAAAACTTTGCATTTAAGAAGTAATATTTGGAGAGGACGATAGGGTTTCAGGTTCATCTCTGTTCAATTAATCCACCTTGATGAGAAGTGAACATTTGAGGGTCTTGTTGATTTAGAAGACTGAAGTTAACAGCTCAACATTCGATGCAGACGGTTGTTCTTGCCAGAAGTTTAGGGTGTGTTTTGAATTTGAAATTTTTTTAATGAAAAATAGGTTTTGGGTGATGTTTTTTGCTGAAAAGAAATTGCATGATGCTGCCAAAAATTGGGAACGAATATGGAAACGATCACACTCTTACATCTATTACAAATGCAACTATTCAAAGTGAACTTTCTTGATTTTCAAATTAGGTGTTTATGTGTTAGAGAGAGAGAAAATAGAGGGATGTAAGGAAATGTTTGGGCTGTTAAAGTATGGTTCCTGTGTTTTAGGATCATCCAATGCTTGCTAGAGAATATGAGAGAGTCAGAGCTGGTAAGCCTCCAGTTCAAATGGATACATCCCGATATGGACTTGAATTGCCCCCCGGGAACAAAAGGAATGATGAGACTGCATGGAGGCAGGTACTTCAAAAGGCCCAGCGCTTGTTGCAACATCAAGTTATCAGGTACGGGTTTGTAATTATGTATATCAATCAATACCTTTGATATATTGTGAACTGTGTTGGTGATTGCATGTATATGTTTAATGGGTTTTGAATAATTTTTTATGATCGCTGAGGGCTTTTATATATCTAGTAAAGAGTTAATAGTTGGTAGTTTATTTCGGTATCAGCAAAAGAGGGACTCGGCCGGAAAAAGGTTGGAATTTATTAGAGATAGTCGCTATAAAATCTGAATAATGCAGTCTGAATTATGTTTATATTAAGTTCATAGCCTAATGATATGCTACACTTAATTTGGTAAGGGTTAAACAGGGCATTCGCCTCCCATTTTCCACAGGAGGGACCCTGCCATGTATTTCCACGACATAAACTTTAGATGTAAATGCATGTGTTTCTATGATTTTAATGTAATCAATCTCGATTTATTATTTTTATTATTTTATTATTGTAATGTATCTATTTTATTATTTTTATTATTTTTTTGTAGGCTTGAGAATCTAGATTTAATGTTCAAGCATGGCCCTGATGTTTGGAAGGTGTATAATCAACAATTGGAGGCATTTCTGTCAAGGTGTGTTCCTACAGAAATCTCTTATGGATCTAACCATTTATTGAATATCATCTTGACGATGTATTCTCTACTTTTACTTGTATGTTCAGGCTTTAATAGTTTTTTAAAATTTTGTTTCCATTGATCAATGCATCTCAATAAATTTCTATATGGAATGTGTTGAAACACCATTAATGGACCATAACTTTCATCATCGAAAACATGAATGCCTTTGAAATTTACTCATCAGACATGAATTATAGCTGTACAGAGTTCTTATATTTATGGTCACAGATTAAAAAAAAAAATAAAAAGACAATATCCTCATCAACGGCTTAAAATAAAAACATTGATAATTTGATATAGTATACATAGATGAAGCAGTGAAGGGGTTGGAGAAACAGGTACGAAGGAAAAAAGTTAGTTTTGAGTTGAGTGAGGGATGGGCAAATTATTGTGCTAGAAAATAAAATTAGTGATGTCGAAATCAATACTTTTCTCTTCTATGTTAATCTTTTATGAGATCAAGTTTATAGTAGTCCGATTGTGTTAGGATGTTAGTGAATGAGTCAATTGGCGTTTTAGTTGTGAGGTATGGAGAATTGTATCAATAAATATAAAAATAATATTTTGCGTTAGAGTTGTTGACTTCTTGTGATATAATAGTACTTATATTATTGATATTATGTGAATCTGTGGGTGTATATTGTATTTTTTTTTATTTAATATTCATCAGGAATTGTATCAACAATAATTTGTTGGATAAACATACCCTTAGTTTATCTTTTATATAAGTACTAAGTAGAATGTTTTGTTATTTCATTTAATATACTATGCTTAGTTTATGAGACCATTTGTTTTCTTAATTTTTTCTTATTTACTGTCTTAGTCTTACATAGGTAATTTATAGAAACAAGAACACAATTCGATAGAAATAAGAACTAGTTTATTACTCAAAAGAAGAACTAATCTTCTCTACCCAGCCGCAGCAGTCTCAGTCCAAGTATTTTTTGTTTGAAAAAAAATTGGTGAATAGTGAAAATCCTGAAAAAACCTCCAAACAAACACAAACCAACGTTTCTAGTTGTGTTTGTTTGAAGGATTTTGATCAAATTCTATTATTCATACAAAAAATTTTCTCCAAAAATATCAAATCAAACATTTATTTTTCATTTTTTATATTATACTAAGAATTAATTTTACATTCAAAACATCGCATCAAACTTATTTATATCACATTATAGAACTATTCTAATTCAACTTTTTTTCTATTCGAATTTCAACCCAAAATCCAAACTCCAAACAAACACACCTAATAATCTATTGCTAGTTTGCCTGAAGCTCTCCATGCTTCTTTTTCATTCGTCTGTGACATTAGTTTTATGTTAACTTCTTTCAAAGGTTGCAAGCACAAGTTCTCGAACTCAATGGAAAGATTGAAGCTGTGAATCGTGAGAGGAAATATCACCAGGTAATTCCTACGCACTTTCCTTATTCGAGAATTTCTTTTGTTTTATGGAGACTCATTCCTTTCTGAAAATGGTTTGTTTGTTTGTTTTATAACTTATCAGCAAAACACTGCATATGAGCTTAATGCTTTATCTTCACAATGGAGCGAGCTGTGTTTGAAGAACATCGAAATCCAAACAGCATGTGCAGAAATCGAAGCTCAAATTAAAGAACTTAAGGATGAAGCTACCGGGAGGTTTACCAATGTTCTTTCTTATTTAAAGGCTAATCCCCTTGACGTGTTTCTTTTTGTTCACTAGTTTATTTTATCGGTATTCAGGGGCTGGAATCTCGAAGCCAACCTTGAGAATGGACCGGCCATTCAACAGTCTGCGAGATGAGGTAGAATGCACGCCGATTTCAGGTATCCTATCAGATTATTGTGTTCTATTAATATCGATAGTTTTGAATCAACCAAAGGTGCCATTGCGCGTAATTGAAGTGTTTGTAACTATAAATGAATCACTAATTAGTCGTACAGACGCAATTGATATGCGCCTATGAGTGCCGAGGTGTTTGTGAAGTCGAGCCCTTTATTATGTGGAAAGCTACATTTTTTTGTAGGAACTTGAATTCTGGTATTCTGTTGTAATAGAGATCTGATCTGATGCATTCGAACTTTACAAGCAACGTTGGTTTACTCGAAATTATGTTGTCTCAAGGTTTGTTTTTTTGTCATTTACAGGAAAATATTGGAAAAAAATCGATAATTATTTATCGTGTAATTGTGTAATTATGTATAACTAATAACAATGAATATTTGACATTTTCCACTAATAACAATTTTCTACAAAGAAACTTGTGTTTTTAGTCTACCAAAGCTTTTGTAAAGATATCAACAATTTGAAAACAAGTTGTGAGACTCCTCCGTCGCACCTGTATAGTTATTTATATTATACGATAATTATTTTTATTAATATATTTTTTAATTATTTATTAATTATATTTATTGTAAATGATCAAAATAAATAACAAGATAAAAATGGTGAGGTTGCTAAATTTGCTACTATAGTGGCCGGAGTGTAACAATGTGGCCATATGGTAACCATTTACGTGAATTACTAATACATTGTTAATATATACTCTTCTCGTCCATAAATTAATATTCTATTTTTCTCTTTAAACACAAATGTTATTTTATAATCTTTATTCATTTATCACTTTTAATCTATAATTTATCATAAAGAGAGAATTTGTCAATTTGTAACAAAAAAAATTACCTAAAAAAGGTAAAATTGGACTATTATGAATACAACTGATATTGAAATTTTTATCTCTGGGCGAACTTTACAATAGTTTGGTCAATGCATATAATTTACATAATCCAAACACAAGTTCTTTTAGTTCGCTTTTGTCTTCACATACGCGCACCTTAGTTGACTTTCCAGAGAGTCATATCTCCTAAAAATTATTCTATGAAAAACACGTTTAATTTTAGAGTTCTTTCAATAGTGCTTTCGAAAAAAATGTGTATATTATTGATATGAGTAGTTTATTCAATCTATTTAATATCTCTATCGACTTTGGGGATATCACATCATCCCTTACTCATATCTATTCAACTAATGGGGTATTACATCATCCACGATTTAAGAATGCAACATCCACGTTTCATTTCAAGCATTCGTCAATCGCTAAACCGTAAAAAATTGTACAAATATTTTTTAGGATAATACAAATTGGACAAAGAGAGTACTAACATACACCTGATAAAATTTCAATATGAATAAATGATTTTATTGGAAAGAAGAAGTACTTACTTACACTTAATAAATGAACAAATAGATGATCCACTTAATAAAATTTTCACAATGCCCTAGGTTTACAAGGTAAAATTGGACTATTATGAATACAACTGATATTGAAATTTTTGTCTCTGTGCGAACTTCACAAAAGTTTGGTCAATGCATATAATTTTCATAATCCAAACACAAGTTCTTTTAGTTCGCTTTTGTCCCAGGGAGTCATATCTCCTAAAAATTACTTTATGGAAAATACGTTTAATTCTAGAGTTCGTTCGGTAGTGTTTCCAAAAAAAATATGCATATTATTGATACGAGTAGTCTATTCAATCTATTTAATATATCTTTCGACCTTGGGAATATCACACCATCCCTTACTCATATCTATTCAAGTCATGGGATATATTACATCATCCACGATTTAAGAAAACAACATCCACGTTCCTATAAATTTAAAGAAACACCGAAATCTAAACTTATAAAAAAATTTCAAACTCAACCCAAATTCAAAACAAAATTTCTCAAACTTCTTCAAAAGAAATACACCGCTGCTATTTTAAAAATTAAAACTATTCAAAATAAATTAATATATATTAATTAAAAATCACATTAAAATAATCGTAATATAATATAAAATTTATAAAATAAATATATGAAAAGATAGATGTTGGGGTCCAGTCCCACCTTGAAAATTGTGAAGAAAATTTCACGCTTGTTCCAAATAAACTCCACTGATATGTCTTTTGGAAGAAGTTCAAAAACAAATCCGTATGTGTTCAATAAAAAAAAACTTGATAAAGTATAATAATTTATTAATCTTAAAATTTAATTTTTTTGAATAATATTTAATTATTTTTCTTTATTTATCTATTCTTTTAAAGTAATAATTCTTTACGATGACTAACATATGCTCTAACTAAGAAATGATGATTCAAAATTGTCTTGACGATAGTTCGGCTGGCTAATGTGATTTGCCTTTTTAAAAATTTAAGAAAAAAGTAAAATAAAATAAAAAGAACTGATTCACAATTAATTAATATAAAGATGTATTTTATTTACATAACAACTATTATTAGATCCGTCTTAAAAAAAACATAGCAAGAAACTATTGATAGGTGGCGGTGCCATCACTGGCCACGTCATCGCAGGCAAAGCCATATACCGACACCTGCCACCGCCGACCCATGTGGGTCCCGGACCAGGCTCCAGAACGTTCGCCTCGCCCGCACGTCAAGAATCGGAGCCGCAAGAACAACCATCCCATCCCCAACCCCCTTTTTTACTTTCCGGGTTTCGGAATTCCCCCTCTGCTATGCTATTGTCCTTCCATGTTTTTCTCGACATCTCGCGGATACAATTCTTCTCTCTCTATATATATCTAACCTCATTGCGATTCTCAGTTCTTCCCAATTTCGATTTCTCTGTTGCTTTTTGGGGGTCAAAACGCCGACCCAAAAACAGATAAAAAAAACCCAAAAAAAATAAGAAAAAAAAATTGAAAAAAATAAATAAAAAGGGTGGGGGAAGGAGCTGAATCCCGGATGCGATGCAAAGGGTTGTTGATAATGCTCTGGCCGTGACCAAGGAGTGAGTTCGTAATTCCCTTTTGTTATACCTGCTAATAGAATTTAATTTCCGTTGCGTATTTGTTTACCCTTTTTCTGATTGATTTCTTTTGGGGGGTTTTGGGGGACGGTTATTGATCTGAGCTACTTTTTTTGTTTTTGGGTTTGTCAGATTTTGAATTTTTTTTGTTTTTGGTAATTTTGTTGTTGTGTGCAACCGTATGATGATTAATTAGCTTGATTTCTTCTATGGATGGTTGTTTGAATTTGAGAATATGTTGAACTGTGATTAGTTCGATCATTATTTTTGGGTTAGTTTGGGGTTTGGATTATGATCGAGGTTAGTTGTGTTGTTTAACCTTGTACAAGACTTGAGCTTATGGAGTTTGTCATTAGGTTTGTTTGGGATGCTGTAATTATATTTTTTATCTGTTTTTCGAAAGGCAAAAGTAGAATTTTTGCTGGAAGATAGATAGCATTGGCATGATCATTATGTACTGTAGATTGGATTTCCATTATATTGTTGTTGCCATTTATAGTTTTTGAAGTTCATGAACTTATAAATTTCCTAGAAGTAAAAATAGTAAAAAAATTGAAGTGGATTAGTATGATGTGAAATAAATAGAGAAAGAAAGAGATGTTTTGAATGTAAAAAAGATTTTTAGTATAATATGAGAAATGAAAAATAAAGGGTTGATTTGATATTTTTGGGTGGGTGAAAAATGCTGTAAATAGTAAAAATCTTTCAAAATTGTTCAACCGAACACAAATTGCAGTTAATTTAGGGGCAGAATGGAGGTCATTCATATACAGGTGTTTCAGTAGGGTCAGATGCAAAATGATGGAAGTTCAATTTGACGCCTTCCAACCAGGTTTAGCTGATTAATGAAATGGTTGACCACATTGTTAAATTGGTTGTCAAGCTTGTGAAGTGCTTTTCGTAATTATGAGTTTTCTCTTTGGGAGATGAATTTTTGGGCTTATGTTATCTGTTTTCCTCTGACATAACTTTGTCAGGACGGTGAAGACATTCACATATGAATCATTGAACAATGTTGTAAGGCTAATAAATGGAGTGTCGGCAATGTTATTGGCTGTCTTGCCTGGTAAAGCCAGTGTTCTTGAAGGCATTCATGGTTGGGAGCTTAGGCCTACCTTTCGTGGACCTCGACTGCCACGCTGGATGGAGAAGTAAGTTTCTATGTTTCTTTCCATATTCGATTTGGTTGGAACACCAAGTTTTGTTTCCTGATTATGAAAGTATCCATAAACATGCGTATGTATGTATGCATATATGAGCAAGCTTGTGTGTGTGGTATTGCCTACTATGCGTAACTCTGAAAAATCGAAAATTTTCCACATTTTTTGATGTATTTTTAGTATGTCAATATTGCCTATTTTTTGTTGATTTAATAATAACTTAATAAGTCAAAGCGGATTAGTTTAGAATGCTCTATTTTATTTTGTATAAAGATTTAGACTTGGATGATATACTTGCATATAAAGTCATATAGAATGATTGCATATTAGACTGATGCTTAGTTTCTGAGTATAGGGTATATAGTTATAATTTGAACATAAATAAAGGGTTATGATAAATATTCTTTTCTTTTTTCTTTTTACTTTAAAATTTATTTATGAGAAGATTTCAATCCTGTGAATGCTGTTTTTGGTGGATCGATTGTTTTAATACTTATTGTCTACCGAAAAAAAATAAAAATAAATGTCTGGTGTTTTTTTACTCATCCAGAAATGCCATCAACCTATTCTTTTCTCGGTGTGTGATGCTCTGTTGGATAATTATTTTTAATATTTGTTGCGCCAGCCAAATGGTGTGTACCAGTATTTCCGGACCATGTCCTTGTTTGACCCTTTACTGTTTCATATTTTGATTGTATGTACATTATTGAGTGTTTGGAGGCTCCTTTGTTGTGAAGTGATGGAGTTCTGAGCAAAATTAAGATGATGTTAGGCATCATGAATTTTCTAGATTAGCTTTTTTTTTGGTTAATTGACGTAGTATCTTAATTTACATAGAACATTGCTGAATAAATTCCATGATTCTTGTTTGATGTAAAATCTTCTTTCTTGATGATTGCAGTGGCGTGTCATCATTCAATAAAATTGTTCATGAACTCTCAGTTGATTCAGATACATCGTCGAGTATAGAGAATTCATCTGATGGAGAAGATAGTGACTATTATCCTGGTTCTCCTCTATCTCAAAGCTCCCGATTTTCAAGGGAAAGCAATTATGCCAAGTTCAATAGAAGTTGGATATATTGGATCAGATGTATTCTTTCATGGATTCTGTATCCGGTGATACTTCTGATAAACATTCCACGTTATTTCTTTACTTCAGCTTCTAGAGGTCCTGCTAAGTCAGGAAACTTTCGTCCCTCTCCTGCTCGGACTCCTAAAAGACTGCAAAGCCTCAAGGAACATTTTATACAACGAACAACTGATCGTAGACGCGGTGTTGTTGAGGTCTGCTTCTTTTTCTTGCGCTCTTATATATCTGAACTATAATGGGGCTCTCGTCGAGCCATAATTTTAATCCTGCATCTCTGCTGGAAAACCTACACCCTAAATTTGGTGAATAAATAAGCATACAATCATATAAAAAGTGCAGTTATGAATCTCTTTGAATTTAATACTATACAACTGCATTCGACTTGTTACGTTAATCCAACCCCACCCCACCAATAGCAGAGAATGAACCGATGCATATGATATGACAAATAATGAAAATAAAGTAAGAACTCCTTCCTTTTCAACATAGAACGGTCTAACAAAAAATGCCACATATGTCGCCATAATATGTTGACAGATAAATGAAGAATAATGAAAATGAAGCAAGCCACAAGAAGTAGAAAGAAAACATGATCACGAGTTTGCATTCGTATAAACAAATTATGTACTTACGGGAAATAATAACCTCCTTTATGGTTTCAGGATCTTCACTTAGCTATTGAAGTCTTCATAGAATCCTCATTTGATAAAGTTCACAAGGCCGCGCATTGCCTTCTAGCTCCAGCAGAAACTGCTAGAACTGCACTTCGGTGGTTTTCTTCTCGAAACTATGACCATGTAGATAGTTCTCCGGAGGGTTATGAGGCTACTGTTCCCACATCTGTTTTATCAGATGATCATCCAGCTCCTACCGAAAGAAAGACAAGTGTTTATTCCCTGAATACTGATGCCCGTACTTGTCAGGATGTCATAACAGAGCTTGGGTATGAGAATTGTTTTAAGTCTGACTACTGCTTTTACGGATTTGGAAATACCATTTTTAAGAGTTCCAAAGCTATATCATGTTATGAACTTCCGATGAAAGTGAAATATTTTAAATTTCTGTGAGAAGTACTTAATTAATTTAGTATATGATCCTATTCTGCTTCTTCCACATAAAAAAAGGTAAAACTTTAGTTTGCATGTGCAGCACTTCTCTCTTTCATACTCTTAAATTGCCATATTGAAGATCGTAGTTTAAGTTGCTACACTTATATATCAGTATTACATTTAATCAGGCTTCTAATATTTCTATTCTGATAAAGGTATCCGTATGAAGCTATCCGTGTGGTGACAGCTGATGGTTATGTGCTCGTTCTGGAAAGGATCCCTAGGTGTGTGCTAATTAATCCCAGCGAAAGACTTGCCTCATTCTTGTACATTGAAGTTTGGATATTTAATATGCCACACCTTGATATTTGCAATCATTGCAGGAGAGATTCGAGGAAAGTTGTGTTTCTCCAACATGGAATATTAGATTCATCTATGGGGTGAGTGTAAAAATCATTTATAATTTAGTGTTTTTGCTAGCTTAAAATTTATGTTTCTACTTTTTTCTCCTTTAGCATGTTCTCTATTTAATTGTACTTATTTTGTCTGCAAACAGTAATATTCATATGGTGTCGTGGATATTTGTTAGTTTTGTAATTTTGAGATTCTCTATTATGAAAGCTGTGCGACATCCTGCCATATCTAGATGCCAGTTTTGAATCTTATATAATGACTTCTTGATTTCATCGATTGTATTTTAATTTGGCAGCATTAGCTTTTCTGTAAGTTTCTAACCTAGGGAGTAGAGAGACTTGATTTTCAAATCTTGCTAGAAGCATGAGTGGGTCAGATTTTCTTTTGAAATTAAGTTTCACTCGGGTGTAATGTTGATATTTGTATTGGTGTAGGTGTGAAAGTGAGTGTCATTTCTACAAGATCATGTGAGTTAGATCATTTGATTGTTTGCAAACTCACAGGCAATTCTTATGGTTTGAATCGACATTAGCTTGTATGTCATTTCACAAAACCAAGAGTACAGATACAAACAGGCCTTCATTAGTATATAGCCTATATATATATATATATATTCAATTATGCTGTCAGTATATCCCTAATTCTTCTTTTCTCTTAACTGATCTGTCTATTATTAGATTTATATAGCTGGAGATGCTGCCTCTTCTTTAATAGATTAACAGAGAAATGAAAATAGGTAGCGTTACGACTTAGTAAAAGCCTTTTAATTGTACTGCTGGAGAATTATAGTATATTTTGGGTTGGAATGCATTTAGCAATCATTTACTGATCATATAACAGAAGACCTAAAAAAAATTTAAAAAAATAGGAAAAGAAAAAGGTTTTATGCAATTCGCTTTGTAGAATTTGACGCCATTAATACACCAAAGGCATGGAACACATGATAATTTTGAAGCATGTTTTGATAATAAAATATGCATAATCAAACCACAAAAAAATAAAAAAAACAAGCAAGTAGTTAATACGCGCCTTCTTCCATTATGGTGATGCACGAACATAGCTACTCTTACCATATCTTTGAGGTGGGGATCCAATAGTAATAATATTAGAGAGATGTTAATTTGTTGGTGATTACTTTTATGAAATGTATAATCTAAATGCTTAATTTTTTATTTCTTGATTTTATTTGTAGTCTGTACTTGGTTCTAAATTCTAATAACTTATCGTCATCATCTGAGTTTTTTTTTTTTTCTTTTTTTATTTGGGCTGTTTTAGTGAGTCGTGTCTAGTTTATGGCATTTGACCCGTAATCGAGGTTCCTGTTTTTGTGCTGTGATTCTTCTCAATTTTTATTTTATGTATTTAATTTTTTATATTTCACATTTTACTCATGTAGACTTGTGTACTGATTTTTCAGTTGGGTGTCCAATGGGGTTATTGGTTCTCCAGCTTTCGCCGCCTTTGATCAAGGTTAGTTTTAGATGCTTGTATTGCTGTCGATATGCTGACATGCTTTGCCATACTTAATAGAAGTAGAACTCACTGATATGTTCCATCTTTGGAAATTCCTTCTTTGTTCCCTTCCAGGATATGATGTATATCTTGGGAATTTTCGTGGGTTGGTTTCGAGAGAACACATCAACAAAAATATGTCTTCACGGCAGTAAGTGGTTTATTTCATAGTGTTTCCTCAGATATTGTGTTTGGATGTAGTTTTGGGAGATGAGTTTGGTGTTGAGAATAGTAAATGTTTAAATTTAAATAATTGTTTAATGTGATATAAATAGGAAATGTACAATATTTTGAATGCAAAAATTATTTTTTTCATATAATATAAAAAATAAAAAGTAAATGTTCAATTTAATATTTTTTTAGGGAAAAAAATTAATGAATAGTGGTAATCCATATAGAAAGCTACAACATAACACAGTAGTGTCATGATATTTAGTTGAATTTTTCTGTTCTTGCCGAATTATTGTATAAGCCATGGCGCCTTAGTGCATGCTATGGAAGAAACATATATACACAGAGACGAATACGTCTTTTCCTGCATCTTGCCAGAAACTTTGGGTGTCTTTAATTTATGTTTTTGGCGTTCCAGATTATTGTGGATTTAAAGTTTTTGGAATGCAAAATATCGGTTGGGTGTGATGTCTTATGTCGAGTTTATATGTTGAAAATATCTTGTCTGATGGTAAATTTAATTTTAGTATAGATTGTATAATGTGGAACGGGCGTTGAAAACACAAGCAACAAGGTTTTTTTTTTCCCCTCATGTGTATTATTCAGTGATTTTCGTAATTTCATGTACTTCAAATTTATATGTTCTTGTAGAGTTCCAATTATTTATGACAATAATGTATTGTCTAATAAAATAAAATAGGGGCACAATAACTAGTGTCGGTTGAATGTTGAATGTTTTGAAGTTTTGAAGAGTTTTGGGAATAGTAAAAAATTGATTATTTGATGTGATGTTGTGTTTGTTTAATGTTTTTAGCTATACGTGTTTTTGGCGCTAGCATGGATAATCGTATCGGTAATATAAAAAATAGTATTTACTGTCGATTTGTTTTGCTTTGTGTGTGTATATATTATAAATTTTTTATAATATTATTTGGGAAGTATGTTTGAGTTTGTTGTTGGGTGAACAGAGCCGAACTATTTGATTTGATATTTTTTATTTATTTATTTATTTTTTAAAGCTAATTCTGATAAATAGTAAGAGAACTTTTAAAATTGTGTATGTACACAGATCCTTGTTTTGACAAAAACTAATGAAGGCATTTCCGTGGGGTAATTTGCATATAATTTCGTGGTAATAGTTAAATGTCGATCACTTGTGTGCATTTTCCGTATTTCTCTATTCGATGTATAATTATGTAGTTAAGCATTTCAAGTACTTTCAATTTGATTCTTTTGTTCATTTCTAATTTTGGAGAACTTGAATTCTTAATTGCATAATATTTGAATGAGCGACGTAAATGTAAATGTTAATTTTGCGTTCTTGCTTATGCTGTAATTTATGCAGATACTGGAATTACTCCATCAACGAACACGGGACTCAAGATATACCGGCGATGATCGAGAAGATACACGAAATCAAAATCTCCGAGCTGAATTCGAATCAGGCCGACGCCGAGGAAGTAACGAACTCCGACCAACCTTACAAGATCTGCGCCGTGTGTCACAGCCTCGGAGGAGCAGCTATATTAATATACGTCGTAACAGCCCGGATCGAGGAAAAGCCCCATCGCCTCTCCCGGATGATCCTCCTCTCGCCCGCGGGATTTCACGACGACTCGAACTTCATGTTCGCCGCAGCCGAGTACCTCTTCCTCTTTCTCAACCCCGTCCTGCAACCGTTCCTGCCGGCTTTCTACATCCCCACCAAGTTTTTCCGAATGCTGCTGAATAAATTGGCGCGCGACTTCCACAACTTGCCTGCGGTCGGGGGGCTCGTCCAGACGCTGATGAGCTACGTCGTCGGCGGGGACAGCTCGAATTGGGTTGGGGTCTTGGGCCTACCGCACTACAACATGAACGACATGCCGGGAGTTGCATACCGCGTCGCGCTTCACCTCGCGCAGATGAAGCACTCGAAGAAGTTCACGATGTTCGATTACGGCAGCGCGGCTGCCAACATGGAGGTCTACGGCTCCCCGGAGCCTCTCGACTTGGGGGAGTACTATAGCTTCATCGACATTCCCGTCGATCTCGTCGCCGGACGGAAGGACCGGGTGATAAAGCCGTCGATGGTACGCAAGCACTACAAGCTGATGAAGGAAGGCGGCGTCGACGTTTCGTTTAATGAGTTCGAGTACGCCCACTTGGATTTCACGTTCTCGCACCGGGAAGAACTTTTGTCGTATGTGATGTCGCGTGTTTTACTTTTGGAGCCTCCGTCGAAGCAGCTTGCCCGGCCGAAGTCGCTTAAGGTGAAGAAGAAAAGTTTGCAGGTAAGAACATCGAAATGACGAGATGTATATATATATATATATGTATTTATTTATATATATATATATGTATTTATTTTGTTGTTTCGATTGTTCGTATTCGTGTGTGTGTTGTTTGCGAGTGTAGTTTTCCGGTTGCTTCGTGTAAATAGTAGTGTTAGGGTAATCTTTGTATGTTCGTGTTAGCGACGACGACGACAACGACGATGAAGATGACGGAGTGTGTTTTGGGGTAAGCAAGTGAAGTGAGGAAAATGGAACATAAGTATAGGTAAATTGATGTATCATTGCTACCTCCGAATACGACGACGTCTTGAATTTTAGTAAGTTTATACTTGGTCATTTAATTTTAGTGATTTAAATTTGGAATTTTGTTAATTTTATTAGGAAAAAAGTAAATTAAAAAAAATGAAGTTTTATTTATATAAATATTTTTTAGAAGTTTTGGTGCTATTTATTATAAATAAGAAATTATTTAAATATTTAATTTTTCATTGATTTTAGATTTTTTCAAGATTCGAAGTTAATGAAATTTTTCGTGTGTAGCTAATAATGAAGTGTTGGCGGGTGTATTTAGTTTGGTTTGGAAGTTGATTTAGGATTTGATATAATTTAATTTGGTGTTTTACCTATTGATAGTTCAATATTTAACTAATCAATTCTATAATTCAATAATATATTTGCTCCAAAATTTAATAATTCAATATCACTCATTTTATATGAATCAACACATTTGGAATTAAATATAACATTAATTCAACTTCACAGCAGGAGATCTTGTGTTCCTTTTCAATTTTTATCCAATTTTTTACTGTTTGAAATATACACTTTCTGAAAAAATACTTCTATTTATCATTTTCCTTTGTTCATCCAAAAATATTACTCCATAAAAACAATTATACATTAATTCAGAATATTCAATTGAGTACTCTATACTTATAGAAGTCAATTATAATGTTTTTTAAACAAATCGAACCATTCGTAAATTCGGCTCGATTCGGCTCAATTCGGTTTGGTTAAAGCTCGTTCGCGAACGTTAACGAATCGAGCCGAACAATATAAATAGACTCGTTTGGTTAACGAACGAGCCCAAACTTTGTTCGCGAAAGTTCGTTTAAATAATATATTTATTATAAATATTATATATACATATATATATAAAATAATTTTAAATTTTCTTTATAGTTTATATATAAATTTAAAAAATAAGACAAACGAGCTCGAACGAACTTAATTGAACCTAAACGAGCCGAACACGAACACTAGCCCAAACAACAAAAATTCTTAACAAGCCGAGCTCGAAAGCTTAACGAACAAACACAAACCTTGTTCGCGAACGTTAACGAACACTTAAAATTTGACTCGGCTCGGCTGATTACAACTCTAAACTCATGGAACTAACTTAATTGCATTTACCTTACTTACAACCAAACTATAAAATCTTAGCTAAACCAAAAAATCAATCCACTGCAACAACAGCCAAGCAACAAAATGTTATTTTTCATATTCGACACAGAAAAACAAACTAGCCAGAGATCGATCGCAGACTGTGTAGAAACAAGTAAACACAAACATCAACCAGAGAAACCAAGAAACACGATTTACTGGTGAATAGGACTTCAATTATAGATATATATATATATATATATACTTCGAAAAGCAGCAATGAATTTGCATGTCGCTTGCTATTGTTACACGGGAGGAGATTCTCAGATCGATCTATTTGTATCTTACTCGAAGAAACTCAATTAAATGGGCTTTGTATTGTCATTTGCAAAATCAAATATAAAGCTTACCTGAGAAATAAATTACACCTCAAATTGCCAATGTTGTTTGGATGAAGAGAAGAGGAATCACTTAACTCTCTTTCACAATAGACAGCATTATAAGTCGTGAATTTTCCAAATTCGTGTCATCTCATTCTCCGACCTGATAAGACCACGACGTAAGATCCAACCATGTTTCTTGGCATATCTTGTCTCCATCTCCAATATCAGTAGGGTGTCGAGCACTTGGAGACTGCTATTCAGACATTCAGACATGACTCGCCCAAAGGAGCATCAAGAATTCCGGCGAAAAAAGAGACTACAGGTGAAATGGCATTAACAATTTGAGAACTGCTACGACACAGAACTACCCGGTAAAACAGTCCGCTTGGGAATATCCGAACAACCGTGGCTTTGTTGTAGAAGGGATGCGCGCTCAGGATTCATTGTCAGAAGTTGCTGCATATCCTTGGGGAGAACACTAAACACGATCTGCAGATCTTTCTTTAGTTTCTCACAGACTACTTCGGTGTCTTCATTTGCTTTTCCATACTGCAGTTGGAGAATTCCCGTCAGTTGTGCATAAAGATACGGATTAATATTATCGAAATTGAGCGATCCAGAGATTAACAGAGTTTAAAACTACAAATTTTTTTGAACTTAGAGTCTAAAATGAAGGAACAAAGTAAAATATATTCACAGACAGTTAGTTACCTAACCCACAGTGTTCATTGTCGATGTAAATTCAGAAAATTTAATCACATGAATTGATCCAAATTCCTTACCATGGTCAAGCGAGTTACCCATAGAAGGATTGCCTACTTTCCTCAGGGCGTGTTTACTATGGAGGATCTTTAATAGTTAAGAAGTATAACACAACCATTAATTAGTCCAGTCACGAGCATAAAAAGCCGATGCTGTGAGGAAATTAACCCAACTTTATAGCTAATTCAGAAAATTTTACTGGTTCTGACAGAATCTACATCAAAGAAAAACGATAGGAAGAGAGGTAGAAGATGTCCTGAATTGAGAAAATGAAAGAAAAAAAAATTATATTTACCATGAAAATACATAGAAACGGCTAATATTTTGAATATGAGCCACTCACTTATGGGAGATATAACTATAAAGCCGAAACTTTTCGATAATGGAGGCTTGGAAAGTGGTCGGATTTCACATTTTGATTCAGTATCGAAGCTATTTGTGCAGTGGTCCGTGAAAAAGTGGTATCGGTGTTATGGAAACACTTTCAAATTGCATTGGCATTCTAGATATCAAATGAGCTCGGGTTTTAGATTAGGATTACCGTGCGTCATCAGATTCTACCCAGGAAGACCACACTAAGGATTTGACAACTAGAATTTATCAAAAAGTGTGTAGACATACATGCGCGCAAAATTCAGGTTTTAAGAAGGTTCTATGTTACAGAGTCATCAAAGTTTATGAAAACATAGTAGCAGTAGGCAGCAAGTTTTTTCAGTAAAAATGTTCGTTGTGGAAGTAATTATAAACAGTTCAAACTTAAATATCATAACTCTTTCCAACTGTGAGATCAAAAGGTTTGGCTTATAAAGCAATGAGATATTGAATTTCAGTATTTAATAAATCGGTTGACATTTTATGCATCAATTCTCACTCTGGAGTATCAATTCCACAAACATACAAGGTTTGTTTACCCAACAAAAATTTTACTGACACGATTTTCAATATATATCATATATATTTTCATTTAAAAAGTCAACATTTAACATAAAATATTACTCCCTCCGTCCACTTTGAAAGTTTCCATTTTTTTTTTGCGTATTGATATTTGAATATTGATTATTATATCAAAACGTAGTACAAATTAAGAAAAATAGACAAAAATACTTATATTAGTGTCTTACAATGCTAATAGAACGTTTATACAAAAATTATACAAATGTCTTCTTTCCATTACACTGTGGTATTATAGAGTATTCGATGGTTCCTGAAACAAGTGATAATTGCATGCATTCTTTGGAAGTTGGAACCACCCAGCACATGCCTATTTAACTAACTTGTCTTTTTCCCCAGATGAAGGATTGATCTTTTTTAAATATGTGTCCCATTTTTAGCATGCTCACTTGTACTTAACAGAGACCTTTTTCTTTAATAATAATACTCTCTATTTACTCTCCCACAAAAAAACATCATCGGTCTACAAACTAATTGAAGTCAATAAGGTAAGGCTTGTCCATTCCGAATTGGCATATATTTACTATAATTATCTGGTATACAGGGTAGGATAGATTATGACTTTCTTATTAAACTTAATCTAGAATTTATTATTTTTTAAAACTCTAGCAATAACCAAAAGTAAATATAAATACTTGTTCACCTAGCTCTTTAGCAATTTCAGTCAAGTTTTCTTTCTCTAGATGTTGAGGGTGTTACTTTTACTATTTCATATATATATCGCTTCTATTGATGCCACAATCACACATTCAAGAATCACAAATGTTCACCATGTTTATGTAGGACCTATGACACCTATAAGTAACAACTGGCAATGCTGAAACTAACTTCGTTTGTTTCAATACAAAAGTCAAGACAAATCTAATGTTCTAATCTAGTAGATGACGTATGTTTAAGGAAGGGAATTTGGAAAAGACAACTGAAATGCAATAGATGTAGAATGCCCTCTATTATAGTAGATGGAAATTAGTACACTTAATAAGGAAAAACTCCTGTTTCACAACAACCAATTAGATCATTGTAGATCTTTCTTCCAGGTTATATTCCTTCTATGTAGAATGCTAATATTGAGAACTTGTCGTAAATTTACAGATAAACGCAAGCCTATACAGCTGGATACAGGTAATATTAGATCACTTCTATCTATGTAAAGTGGTTTTTGGATTCATTGACAAAAAGGTTTGTGTTTAGCTTCATTGACTTCTATTGACTTTACAACTTCTACGGTTCTACCTATATGTAGTGGTTCTTTTTACCCCATTCATATGCTGCATGTTTCTACTGACTTCTTTTTGTGTATAGATAGTGGTTTTTGGAGCAAAAAGTTTTCCTTCTCATTCATGATTAAACTTGTGTTATTGCAACCTTGTTGCCTAATTCTAAGTTTGACGTGCAAGCTATACCTTCAAACATTTTCCAATGACAGTAATATGAATGGGAACATAATTTATCTATATCTATATCTTTACATATAAATAGATAGGCCAAAGGATTGTTTTGCCAAAGCCTAACACTTGCCGTATTAAGACAAAATGAACAAAAAGTTCATGTCACATGACTCATTTCTTGTGCCTATATCCACGAAATATAGCAGTAAAGAAAGATACAGCCGTTGTTCAAAACACTAAGACCCGTTTATTTCAAAAGATATACACTCATGATAATCTGGGGTAAAAGGTTTTCATGGCTAATCAATCACCTAGTTAATGGGTTACTCCAAACTTTTTAGTGTTCTATAGTATTTCCAAAAGTTTGTTTGAAAGTAGTACTTTGGAGATATTTGGTGCTTTGGGAATAGTAAAATTTTGATTTGATATTAATAGGGATTTGGTGTGATGTTTTGAATAAAACATAGTTTTCGATGTAATTTTTAAATAAAGTTTAAGAGTTCGCTGTCATGTCTTTTAAGGGATTTTTTTTTTTTTTTTAATGATAGTTTAAACAAGAGGTTGAAAACACAATTATGCAATTCTAGTTCTTCGTATGAGTGAGTGGGATATCTTGTCCAATTCAGTATCAGAAATCAAAAAGGAAATTTCTAAAACACTAAGGTATTTTTTCACAGGATGGCTTGACATTGTGCTAGGAAGGCTTCCTCATAAGCCTTCCCACGAAGCCTACTCTCATTGCAAAAATATGTTTAACATAGCGCTATTCCGTAGTTACAAAAAATTCACCATCCTATGAAGCCTCTCAGCATTTTCACTGCCTTGATAAAAAGTGAGTGATTATCATGGACTTAGAGGTATTAGGAAAAGTAGGACATAGGGATTGCTAAAGTTACTAGCAAGAAAGAAAACAAAGGAAATATAAGTGGCCATATAAAATGATTCAAGATGATAATCAATGGCTGCATTCAGGCACGCGGGGTTAGTATCAAGAAACCTGCGCACCTATTACAAAGATGAATGAAATGAAGATATTTTGTCTCTAGCAACAAATCATAATTAGAACTTGCAACAATTTGGTGTCAGAAACAGATTCCTACACGGTAGTTTAGAGAAGAAATTTATACAACATCAAAATGTGATATGAGAAAACTTTGGCTTGTTATACTGCATGCAAAAGAGAGATTATAGGGTCTGAAGCCATCATGACGGATGTGCTTGCAAGATTTTCTAAGGCCAAGCCGCTGATAGTTATAAAACAGAATCAAAGAGGATGCTATACTTCAGCTGGAGGTGTTGCAGCTCTTGAGAGTTGAGAGAGTTGATGACATTATTATGACAATTATTGAATAAACATTTCGAGGGGAAAAAGAAAAATCTCCTACGCATCCATCAAAGAAGCTTAGCATCCCAAAAGGAATAAGTTGCTCATCTAAAAGAAAGAAGTAAAAGAACTTACAATTTTGAATATAGCACTACCCAAATTAATCTAAACTGCTAAAAGGAATATAATGCCATAAGAACATGTCACTGTCTAAGGTAAAACTTATTTATCTTTCTAAACTTGTGCGTCTACAATAATACAAATTAGCCACATTGTGTCAAACAAAGGAAGAGGGCTAAGGATGTTATGGGACAGTCTTCAGCATCCATGAAGAGATGAACGCTTAGTTAATGTGCAATTTATCAGTGTTCAAAGTGTTGTATACCCAAAATAAGTCATTCATTACGTATGTCGATAAAACATCAATAGAATCAAGAGACTGGAAATTTCATTTTGATGGGAAAGAACCTACCTGCAGTTCTCCTTGAAGATGCCTCTCAATTGCATTGAAGGAATCTACGATCTCCAATTCCGGCATTTTGCCAATCAACTGATTTATATCAGCCTTAAGTCTAGCCAGCCTCCACAATTTATATTGTTCTTGCTCAGCAACAGCACGCTTTCTACGAAACCATGGCTGGAAGTTGTGCCCTTTCAAGAACCGCCTGAGATTAAACACCAAACATGACGAACCCAAAATCTAACATAGCATATAAGCAAAACCAACAAGAACAGTATTGTGTAAAAACACAACCAGTACCTGTACAGATCCAACCAATTTGACCGTGTCCGTTTCAGCAAAAACTTTCCAGGACCTCTGGCAGACAATGTAGCGAGAAATTCCTCAGTGTTGAATGGAGGTAGAGGAGGGGGATCGGAAAATGGGGATGATGCCTCAGAAGGAGTATTTGCTTTAAAGTATGGACCAAAGGGTGCCAAGAAGTTAGTAGTCAGCTCAAGAAAATGACGGCGTAGTATATCATTGTTGACAACTGACATTGACTCCTCAACCCTCGGAGACATTCCAGCATCAATAAGTCGATTCAAGATGGAGGTGTCTGGCTTTGTCACAGCAGCATAATTGCTCCATACAGCTTCTTTATGCTCGGTCATAAGACACAAAGGACCATCCCTCTTCATCTTCACAGCATTCAAGAAGTTTGCCGGAGTGAACCTCTTAAACGAAAGCTGCTGATGATTAAGTCCTTCATGTTGACCAGGACTTCCCCTGGAAAACGGTTTAGAGCCAATATTAGACCGACTTGAATTCGAAGCAGGAGTTCCAACTGAAACAATGTGAGGCATATTACGAAGTGCCTTCAAGAAGAAGAGGTTTGTGACACCTAATACCATTGGAGGAAAGGGAGAACCCTCTTGAACAGAGTTCAAAATGGCAAATTCCGGATCATGAATAGTGAAGTAAGGCCGGAAGTCAGCACTAAATAGAAGCGGAGCAACCAAACTAACTAGGCCAGCAACAGCTTCACAGCATTGGGGAGGTGTCGGGGCTATAATCAAGATGGGTTCCCCCACTAGTAGAAGTTCCCAGAGCCTCCAAAGCTGCATTAAGAGTCCACGAAATGCACCAAAAAGATCGGAATCATGAAATAGCCCTTGTGGAACTGATTGGTTTGAAGGAAGTAGTGGAGCCAGTGATGAGGCCGAGTCTTCGAAGAATCCACTGTCTGATGGCAAGCAATGAGAAGGCGGCAAGTTCACTCTAAGCGTTGCATTCCCAATAGGTAGTTCCATTTGCTGACCGGGTAAAGGTGGAGGCCACTTTGATACATACGAAGCAATATAATTAATGGCCTTATTCCCAATGTCGAAGTATAAGGGACCCATGATTTGCAACAGAGGTCTAAACACGCTGGTATATGGACTGTGAGAAAGAATAACCACAGATTTTTGTTCTCCTCCTCGTTTCAGCCTCTCGTCGTGTCTCTGTCGGTTAAATACAAAGCCATACAAAAATCTTGAGTTATTGTTGCTGTGTTGTCTTCCCTTCTGTGTATCCGTACCTATCGTCTTTTGGAATGAAGCTTGATTATTATCTACTTCAACAATCTCCGATGATGCTGAGCTCAAAATTGCAGGGCTATTGTGTCTCCTTATCCGGAAGAAAAAGATGGAATCATGGATGCTCGAGCGGTTGTGATGCTGTGAAACTGAATCCGGAAATGAACTAAAGGAGACTTCCAGCTCCTCGTCTTGGGTAATAAGGCCAGATGGATAACACTCCTCAATGAGCTGACCTTGCTCAAGATCAAACCGAATCGTACAAAAAGCTACTACCCATTGCTGTAAGGATATTTCGTCAACTTCTGATACATGTTCCAACTTTAAAGAGAATGATGGAGATCGGCTCATTTCCAGGTACCCAAAAATCCCCAATCAATATTCAAACGATCTTGGCATTCAGTATCCAGACAGCAAATTGAAAGCAACATTGGCTGCCCATAGATAATACAGCAAGGAGATTTTGTACCTTCCGATTCCCGTTAGCAGTCTAAAAAGATTAACAAGAACGAACAGAACAAAAATCACAATCCATAAATCCTAAACAAGAATGATTCAAAATGCAAGCATCAATGTATAACAAAAAATCCTCGGCACAAGCCCAACAAGTTCCCCTCACCGTCCTTGTCATAGTCTAGAACAAATTTCAGCCTTGGCTACCATAATCGAAAGCTACTAGTTTTCATCCTTCAATGAAAAATGGCACCCCATCCTATCCTATCCCATCCCAATATTTCCCTTCCCTTGTATACTCGAAACCAAAAAAAAAATTGCAATCCAACGACAATCAGCAAGAGATATTTCATTGTTTCTCAATGTTCAAAATAATCCAACGGTTGATTGACCTTAGCAACCAATGCACAGTAAAAACGTCTTATTCAAAGCAGCCAAAATTCCAAAACAAGAATTACTTAGCCATTGGCAAAAACAAATTAATAAAGCAAAGAAATTCTCGAACAAGCATAAAAACCAAAGTAAAAAGAAATAAACTTCATCCCAAAATAGGGTAAACCCATCAAAATCTTCCACGATTCAAATTAAGAAAAGATTAAAAAAAGGCATTTGTCTTCAAATTCAGCCCAATTAAAATCCAAAGAGACGAACCAAACAGCAAACAATGCATATACCTAAACAAAATCCAAATGACGGTTAGGGTTCGGGATCAAAATTACCTAAATTTGCAGAAGGAAGCTGAAATTGCGAAGAACAGGTCGGATCTGCCCCGAATTTGGAAAAGAAAGAACCAAGGCAAGTAAATCGGATTTGGACAAATAAAGGGGGGGTTTTAGTTTTACGTATGTATAGTCGAAGGGAGCATTGGAACTTGAAAGGCTTTGATTATCAGAAGACCGACCTGAAAAAAAGCGAAAAATTCGGGGCCCTCCCTCCCTGCGTGCGTTGGTTTGGATTATAATTTTGTCTTTATCCCGCCCGGTAATCTTCTTGTCTTCTTCTTCATCATAGAAAACCCCTTGTTGCCGTAGAATAGCACAACCAGATTCAAAGGAATCCCTTTTTTTCAGAGGGAAAGAGAAGGATGGATATGACGTATCCAGGCAGCCATGTATGCATTTGTCACTGTGGGTGTTGAACTTTTGGAGTTACCATTGATTGATTCGATTCATGGAAATGGCAACGAATGTATTATTGGTTTTTAATAATTTCTTCTTTCTTTCAATTCATTTTAGACAATTGTGTCATATTCTGTGGCGCGGATACTATTGTTTGTAAGTGTATGCAAATTAAGCGTGTATTTGTTATAAATTTCAAACAAAAAATATCATTTTATATTGTTATTAATAAAAATATATTATTATTTTCTCGCATAATATTAAGTAGATAGAAAAGAAAAGATGTATTTACTAATACGATGAGATAAAAGTGTATGATAAAAATTGAATATGATAAAGTGTAGAATAAAAATTAAATATAATTACTTATTTTTTATTTTGAAAATATTGTAAAATATAAAAATAAAAAAAAAAACCAAATATTGTGTGGTGCTTAAAAGTAATGTTTAGGTACTACTTCAATTTCATATCAAAACCAATCAAACGTTACCAATTTGTTTGGGTTGAGACTTAAATTTTTAATGGCTCGGTTAAGGATATATTTCAAAGTATATCAAATATTTCATTTGTCTTTGTTGGAACCAAATTTTGTGAGGTTTCATATTGTCCTTAAAATCAAATGATTATCACGATGAAAATCGGTTAAGGATCCCAACAAGTATTCCAATATTTTCCATGTTGACTAACGATCATTGACTCTTTTGCGACGTAGGGTTCTTTGTGATATGACTGCCAAACCACCAAGAGGGTTGGATGATCATGAGGACCCAAACGCATTGAGCATATTTCCTCGTAAGGGGGTCATGGGGTCTGCAGTAACCCTAGGGACAAAATTGTTTCGAGGGTCGGAGGTTGGATGGTTTTGAGGAGAGAGGTCTAGCCGAAGGCTGAGTAGCATTGAGGACCGGGGCAGTCAGAGAGCTGAATTGTCATGAGGGCTGAATTGAATAATCATGAGGGCCAAAAAGTGTTTAAGGGTCGGACTGTCATGAGGGCCAAGTAACCATAAAGACTAAGTGGTCTTAAAGGTTCGCTTGTCATGAGAACTAAGGCGGTATGAGGCTTTGATCTTTTGGGTGTATGGTCGATACTAGGTCATTTTCGTGGTAAGCCCTAGTCCTATTTTCATATCTTTTTGGACTTGGGTCCGCAAAATACTCTTTTTAAAAGGGTTGGATGTGCGTCTATGCGAGGAACCCATGTTCTTTTGGATTATTCTTCGCGTGGATTCGGATCGGTTATTTTTCTTTCATCTTCGATGGATTTTCTTTTTTCGATTATGGATCTTCTGGCGTTCTCCACAGAGTCCTCCGTTCGTCTGATTGTTGGGGAGAAGAATCTTTTGTATTTCCAACGGCTGGCTCCGATGCCAAACTCGAGGAGATTTGAAAGACTTAGATTAGGGGAGGAACTCATTGATGGTCTTGCGTCCGACCTTCCGTTAATCTCGATTCAAGCTCCCTCAAATGACAAGGATTCCGTTTCAGATCCTTCATTGTCACCCTCACCTTAATGCATTCATTTCTTTTCATTATTCATTTTGATCTTTATTTTCGGTTCAAAAAGGTACAAGGACCGGAGGATTTTCCAATGCTTCCTTAACGGTCTTAGAGACCTATCGGTGGTTGGGCAGAGAGTATTGGGCTAGGAAGGTGAACACCGTCTTCCTGGTGAGCAAGGGCAGGCTCTTCTGCTATCGTCATCGGTCCTGCTCCGTATGGTGGTCGGTTTTCAAGAGCTAATAAGATACTGATCTTCATGACTCTAGGCTTCTCTTCAGCCTCCAGGTTGTCCTCCAGAAGATCTTAAGCCTGGAACGTAGGTGTTTTTTGTTTGATGGGTGATGGGAGATCTTCATCAATGGGGATGTCAGAGTCACCTTGGCCATTATCCTCGCTTTCAAGAAATCATGTGGAGTCATGTAGTAGGTTCCTCCCTCATGACGATCTTGGGACTCGTGCCCGCCTAACGGTCCCGAAGGGTCTTGTCCTACCCCTTAGAAGGGAGTCCTTCTTTTTCAGACTCATCATATTCTTCATTGAGGCTAGGGTGTGGTTTGACCTTCTAGAATCTGAATTGTCAATCCACGAAGACACACTTGTAGTTTTCTCCCTGAGGTATTTTTTGCCACCACTTTTAAGAGAGGCATCATCTGGGTTGTAAAATATGGCGTTTAAGAGAGGCATCATCTCTGGGTTGGAAAATATGGCGTTTATGGCCGTGATTTCTGTGGAGAGCGGATCTTTCTCAACCTCCACTTTTTGTTCTTTATCCCCGTTCTAGAAGATCAACTTCTAATGAAGAGTGAACGGTATTCATTCACACACATAAATACAATAACGCCCCAACAACGCAGGGTAAGAGGGCCTATTGTCAACCATGACGAAGGCCGACATCAACTTCTTGGCTCATACCTGTACATCCACCATGGCGATACCAACCGGCTTATAGGAGTTGCCCATGAAGTATTATATCCAATAATATACTTTAGCCAAAATATTTCTAACAATATCTCCATTTTTGCATGATGTAACCCAAAAACAAATAAGAAAAAATAATTGAAGATTAACCCCATATCATCAAAGAATCACATTACCTCTATCTCATCGACTTTTCTTTTCATCGACTTCACATTTTTTTTCATCGACTTCTACCTCTTTTTCTATTCTCTCCTTCTTTGGGGTATATCAAATCAAAAAGAAATATTCTCAATACCTTTTACCGAGGAAATTCAATATCAAGTCAATAATAATCTTCAAAAAAAATATTCATCAAAATCGCGTACATCCTAGTCGTTTGCATATTGCTTAAACAACGTCCAAATCATGAACAACCATCGATGAAACAAAACTTTTTAGCAAATTTGCATACTATAGAAATGCAGACTCCCCTCAAATCATGATATCCTGAACAAAATATTTGGGGGTAAATTATATAACACCCTCTTGTGTTTTAGTAAAAATGTACAAAACACCATGTGTTTTATTTATTATGTGAAACCCCCTTGTGTTAATGTAAAGTTCACACGAAACACCCTCCTTGTCCAAAACTGATGTTCGAATATAAATAAAGACCTAAATTACGCAAGTTTTATATAAATAAAAAATAAAAAATAATTTAAATAATTTTTTTGAATAAATTAATTAGTTAATTAATTAATTAATAATTCATTTTATAGTTTTTTGAGCTCAATTGTTATCTGATTTTTACATAAATTGTAAAAATAAATTGTTTATCAATTATTTATTTATTTATTTTATTCAAAAAAACTATTTAAGATATTTTACGTTTTTTATTTGTATAAAACTTGTGTAATTTAGGTCTTTATTTAGAACCGAACATCAGTTTTGGACAACGAGGGTGTTTCGTGCAGATTTTACATTAACACAAGAGGGTTTCACGCAATAAATAAAACATAGAGTATTTTGTACATTTTTACTAAAACACAATGAGGTGTTATATAATTTACTCAATATTTGGAGATTCATCTGCGTCATCTTGCACTAATTGGAATGAGATGTATATCCCTAAACTTCACCTCAATAAATAAAATCGATCAGCACCAAATCAAGAACACGTAGCTATCATTCTGCATTGAATTCCACCGGTTTTTTACACATTAGAAGTGCACACCCTCCCCCTCCCTCAATTTTTATCACGGTCGTCATAGGGGTTTGGTCTATCTTCAGTACACCTTCAAGCACAGATACAAGGACCCAAAATATTAAACTGGCTGACTTCTCAACGTCAAATGACCTTTGGACGACGTGTTTTCATATTTCTTTGACATCTCTGCAATCCTCACTGTTACACTTTGAAAATGCATTATCATAATTCAACACTTCTATTGAGCATTCTCTATCAAAATTTAGTCTTTGATAGCCATTAATCTTTGTAGTTGTTGGACAACATTGTATGTTATCTTTGGTTGAATCTTCTTTGATCGCCACTCAAATCCTATGTTGATTCTCCTTTTTAGTGCATCTTATGACCAAGATATTTGCTTTCCATGAAAAATCTCATGAATAATCCTAGAACATTTATCAGCTTCATGTCCATTCATCCTACAATACTTGCATTTCGTCAGTCGTCCGGACATACTTATAAATAGAATAATTCATTGGAGCAGTTTGCTTTGGCCTTAAACTAGTTGTCTTTTTCTTCACCTTAGATGGATTGTTTAGCATTCCTCATTTGACAAAAACCGTAGCTTTTACTTGAAGATCCAAACTCATAACCAATACCATGATGATCTTCAAAATATGTTTCAATTGAAATAATTTCATCAAGTTCTTCATTTTCTCTCTTCATTCAATTGATGTCCTCCAATAACTTGGTTTTTTCAGCATGTAAATCATCAACCTTCATCGAGAGATCTTCAATTTTCTGACTAGTTTATAAATTTTCTCTAATCAAGTCTTCATGTTTAACTTGAAATGTCTCATTCTCTTCAAGAAGAGCTTCATTGTTACACTCTAATTCCTCGATTCACCTTTTCAGTTTCTCATCTCTTGCAATTAGCTTCTTCTGCTCTGCCACAGTTTATTCATATGCTTCAACAAGTTCTTCGTAATTTACTCCCATCAATGTCTTCGTTCATACTTTAACTTTGTTTCTTGGTGTGTGGTGAAGGCAACGACGTCTTCATCTTCATTACTTGATTGATTTCTAAGTTTTGAAATGTTATCTTCATCACTCCATGATGCTTTTATAGCCTTTTTATCCTTTCTTATAGCCGTCGGACATTCCAAACGAATATGTCCATACCTATTGCATCCATAACAGATCACATCATCTACAATTATTGCCTTTAGAGAAATCTGACACTTCAGGTTGTTATCTTCACTTGATATATTAGATTTTTTATTGACTGAACCTTTTTTTTTTTTTTTTTTATCAATATAGAGTGGTTGTTTGTCTATTGTTCGAACAATCTGAGAATAACCTTTTTGAAAGTTGCTCTTTCGCAATAACTTGGCTTGTCTTTTCTGCAGTATTTTGGCAACCTTCTTCGAGATGAAGGAAATCTCATCGTCATTGATATTATTATAAAAAGTGTT